AATTTCCTAATGTCTCATCCCTGCTTTGACAGCATGCAGTTTTAACAAGGCAGAACAACAATTTAATCCTCTAGCATGAGTCTCCTGTTAGCATTTTGGCTAGAAATTTTTCAGTAGGTAAGGAGCCTCATCTTTCATTATTCCTTCATAACTCCAGGTATTCCTTCTAAAATGGAATGCTGATGACTGGCATATGGTGTGGCAGAGTGGGAGGAGTCTGGGACTAGGAACAAAGGACTAGCTTTGTAGGACTAATTCTGGTCCAGCCACTTAAGGAGTTGTGTGACACTGGGCATTTTGCTTGACTTTGAGACTTTTTATGTGTAAAGAAAAGAAAGTAATGGCCCTTTTTAACAGTGAAACTTTAGAAGACATAAGTTTTTATTTTTAATTTCCACTGGTAATTAGCCTAGGGGTAATTGTAAAAATCACTTGAATGATAAACAGAATTGATATTGTCACTTTGTCAGATTTAGATTCATTCTGATATCCTCATGATACTGTATTGTCAGCCACTACCAGTTCAGTTTTCAGTGTGACAGGCTCAATCTGCTAATTTGCTGGTGTTGATGGAATTTGCTGTTGATCAGATCACTATACATTCAGAATGATACATTGATTTAAAAACAACCCAAGTATCTCCCCGTGGATCATTTTGTATTCTGTTTGTAGGTCTGTTGAAAAAAATAGTTTCTGATTATCTCATAGGTTAACCTACTATACCATGTGTTTTAAGAGTTATGCAGGATTTTAGAAAAAAGGGCATCAGCTCAGCTTTAAAGGTTTATAGTTTAAAGGTTTATAGTTTGGGGCGGTCAGGTGATATGGAGTGCTATTTAACAAAATAAGACTACAGTTGGTTTCCATTTTTTTCTCTGTTCATTTTATAGTCTTTAGTAAAGGTTTGCTTTTTCATTTTTCTCCTTTCATTTGTTAGAGTTTTTTACTCACAAGATTTTGAACTGATGAAGGTAAGTTTGCAGTATTGCTCCTAATTTGAAATTAGAAGCTTTCTTGACTTTTCCTACACATTAAGGCAAAATTAATAGCTTCATCTGCACTTCCTAACGTTTTTTACAAGTTAACTTTTTTTTTGCAAGTACCGTTGTACTTGCCACATGGCTGTAGTCTTTTCTCTCCTGACTGCAGCCTTACTGTAGTCATCTTTATCTCTAATGCTTGGAGTACTAGAAAAGTACAAGTCTTGGTGATACCCATGAGTGAGCGCTGAAGAGTACGGGGAATCTGCTTGGGCAGAGACCTGTGAAACAATTGGAATGGTCACTTGTGCCTTAAAGGTTTAGACAGGAAGGTTTTAAGCAGGAGAAATGATAGGTTAAAAAAAATACAGGTTGCATAGCAGGACTGACTTACTGATCATGCGTCTAGTTAATTACATTGGGAATTGTAAGGGATGAGTTAGGAATAGATGGTGTAAAGCCAATTTGTGGAGAACTGAACAGCAGATTGAGGAGTATGAATTGTCTTTGGTGTGGAGAAACGGGTTGATCAGTAGAGTAAGCAAAGGCGGTTCCTCTTTTCATGTTGCAGAAGTTGGCCTGAGTTTAAACTTTATGTATTTTTTTGGAGGGTATTCTCCTCATGTATAGGTTCATTTAGGTAAATCTCTTTCAACCCTGAAAATTGGGTATTTACATAATAACTTACAAGCAGAAACAGGCACCTTAATTCCTGCATCTTGTGCTCCAGCTGTTTGCTGTTTTTTTGTAAACACCTAGTGATTGCTTACTTTCCTCCCTTGGATCTGTTTGCCAGATCCCCCTTCTCTTGCCATGTTCCCAGCTCTACTCATCTCCCAAATTTAACTCAAATCCACCTCCTCTAAAAAACTTTGCCTGATCAGCCTATGGTGAAGTGATTTTCCAGTGACTGGGTCCCATAGCTCCTTTCTTGTAATTCTTCATCATGTACATATCTTCTCTTTCTTCTTCTGGACTGTAAACGATGCCCAACATGATGCTGTGCATGTCATAGTTAAATACATGGGATTTTTCTTCTTTTTTGCACTATGTACCATAAGCTAAAGCAGTGTATATTTTATGTTATTTACATAGCTTTTAGACAGAGCAAATACCATTTACTCGTGTGATAAATACGTACAAAGCTTATTCTGCAGTTTTTGTTTTGTTTTGTTTTGTTTGAGTTGGAGTCTCACTCTGTCGCCCAGACTGGAGTGCAGTGGCCGCTTCTGGCCACCACAGCCTTGACCTGCTGGGCTCCGGCGATCCTTCCACCTCAACCTTCCGAGTAGCTGGAATTACAGGCGCGCGCTACCACACCTGGCTAATTTTTGATTTATTGTAGAGATGAGGTCTCGCTGCCCAGGTGGGTCTCGAACCCTCGGGCTCAGGCAATCCACTCACCTCAGCCTCCCAAAGGCGCAGGATTACAGGTTGAGCCATCTGCAGTTTTTTAAAGTGATAAACTACCTCTATCTGAGGTTTGTCTGACAAACCATTTTCTGTAAATAATTGGAATGTTATAATCCACTGATTTTTTTTGACAACTGATTAAATTTTTCTTTAAAAATTAGATCATAAGTATTGTTGAACTCTGTTTAATGGTGTTAAATCAGCATAAGACCTAGAAAACTTGTTTGCACCTTATAAAGGTAACGTAAGCTGCTAGGTTAGAAAGCCAGTATAATGTAGTGGTAAATAGTTTGGATTCCGAGAAACGGGTCTAAATCCATCTTTGTCACTGTGTAACCTTGGGAAGTTTCTTAACCTCTCTGAGCCTCATCTGTGAAATGGGGATAGAGTTACTCATTATTTTCAACAAATAATAAACTTGTTGAACTTCTACTCTGTACCAGAAATCATTCTGTATTTTAGATAACAATCGTACCTCTGCTGTGAGATCATTGGAGGATTAAATTAGAATGCATGTAAAGTACTTGGCCACAGTGTCTACAACACAAGTGATCAGTAGTTTTAGCTGTTACCAAAACATCCCAAATACATTTTTAAAAGTTGTCTAAGAGCAAAAATACTTCAGGGAATAATTTTATATCTAAGATATGTCATTAAATTTTTAAAAATAATAATGCTATGTGTATTTAAAAGCATTGGTTGACATTCATGTATTTTAAGGTTTACTTTAAAAACTTAAAAGTTGCTATGATAGTTTTGAAGACAAATACAAATGATATTAATGCCAATATTAATGTTTCTTTTAGAGACATTTTCTGTGTGTCTGTATAAATGTATATGCCTTGTGAACCAACTCTACATTCCATTGCCTTTTAAGGTAGAGATATATGGACTACTAATAGTAGTTTGAGAAGTAATTATATTGGGAAATAATTAATTTCATGTGGTTTATTATAGTATGGAGCTATTATATAATCTTTGGGCAATCGAGGAAATATTTAGACATCTAGAAAAACTCTTTTCAAGAGTGTAAAATACAATTTCAAACAGACTTAACCTGTGGGTTTTTCTTAATAATATATATAATTTTTCTATCAAAGTTGCCATTGTGCCTATGTCTAGTCCAGAATTGACTTTGTCCAGTTTTAAGTTTAATTTAAGAAAATTATTATTCCTTTTTTTGCTGTCTCATTTCTCTCTTGATGTCTTGAAATTCAGGTTAAGTTTTTTCCTAAATATTTTATACACACACGTGTGTGTGTGTGTGTGTGTGTGTGTGTGTGTGTGTGTGTGTGTATTTCTCCCTACTATTTTAATAAATAGTGGTAGGTGTGGAGGGATTGGTCTGTCTTAGACTTGTAATCCTTATGACATCATTATCATATGTTATAAGTCATCACAGTCATATTTTAGAATATGAAGTGTATTTTTTACTTGCAGAGCTGCAAAGAATAAGACATTTAATAGGTTCATTACAGTTCGTTCATTTACTTGAAAACTTTTCTGTGAATAGGAAAAAATTCCTTTCTTGATCAATAGTTTGGTTAATCATAGCTTAACCAAAGTAGTTTCTTGTAGTAGTTTAGTTAATTAAGATTTTAATGCATTTTTTGTAGTAAAATTTTTGTTATAGTAGTCTTTATGATTTGTAGAATTGTTGCTCTGTCTGTGCAGGGAGATTGGTTCCAGGACCCCCACAGCTCAAGTCCCTGATATAAAATGTCATAATACCTGCATATAACCCATGTATATCCTCTTATATCCTTTAAGTAATACCTAATACAAAATAAATGCTATGTAAATAATTATATTTTCTTTTTTGTTTGTATTTATTTATTGTTTTTCTTAAAGAATGTTTTCGATCTGGTTGGCTCTGTAGAAATGGAGGGCTGACTGGAATATGTAAACCCAGCTCACTGTAGAAATATTAACTACCAGCAGTTGAATACTTACTCTGCCAGGCAGTGTTTTAAAGATATTGAATGTACCAAGTCAACTGATCCTCACAACAACCTTGTGAGGTAGGCACTATCATCCCCTTTCTCAAATGAGGAAACTGGATAGCAGAAAGGTTAATCAGTTTACCCAAGGTTATGCAGCTAGGGTTACAGCTAGGATTCACGAACTTGTGCACTTGATCTTAACTACTGTCCAGTAGTTAATTGTTGTCTCTCCCAGATTTTACAAGTAGGTTAAGTATTTGAATGATAATAATAATTTTATCAGAGACAGACACATCCTTTTAAAAAACAAAAACAACCAAAGTGTTAACTCTTACCTGAACATTTTCTGAGCTTTATAACTAGTATTGGGTGATTGTACTGGGCTATGTAGGAAGGTATCGCCATAACAGATGACTAGGCACTAGTGCAACTAAAGTTGCCAATCAGAATTTCAACTCCTGAGACTAAAGAATAGCTAGGTATTAATGAGTCATTTTTAAACTTGTTTTTCAGTGTGGTTTGTAGTGGTACTAATTCGATTTTGATAAATCAGTATTTTTACTGTAGTCTTGATGGGTATATCAGCTCAAATGTAACTTACTTGAAATCCCTTAGAATGTTCACATGAGGATTAATTTTGTATTCTTTCTATCCTTTCAGTAAAGTAAAACAAGGTCTGTTACCTAGCTTGGAAGATTTGCTGTTCTATACAATTGCAGAAGGACAAGAGAAAATACCTGTTCATAAATTTATTACAGTAAGTTTTTATATTTTTCTTATCTTTACAAAAGTCAGTAATAGTAAATCAGTATACAGTACTATTGAAATGTAGTCTTAAAATTAAGTCATCTGACTTGTAGATTTTGTCTGACATTATTTCTCTTGTTATGTTTTCAAATTTTTATCATGCTCATTTCAAGGTAATCAGTGAAAGAAAAAGAAACAATGAGAAACTTGTCCAGAATGTGGGTAATAGTGACACTAAAAGCCCATATACATGTTCAAGTTTGGGGTAGAAGTTTTTATATACAGGAATAAAAACTTGTAGTTGGAATAAGCATATACATTATTTGCACTATATATTTACAGACTCTTATTTTTTTAAAAACAGGCACTCAAATCTACAGGATTGCGAACATCTGACCCCAGGTTGAAAGAGTGTATGGATATGTTAAGATTAACTCTTCAAACAACATCAGATGGTGTCATGCTAGACAAAGATCTTTTTAAAAAGTAAAAATTTCTGCCAAACCTTTAATGGTGATCTGCTATGCTATATGGTGATTTTGCTTTTAAAACGAAATTGCATCTTTGAAGGCCAGTGATTCCTGTCTAACTGAAAAAGGGATTTATAAGCATCATTTGTTTTGAAGAACATGACTCACATTAGGTTCTATAATACACCGACTGAGAGCACACTGTCTTTAAATCTGTTCTGAGGAAGTTTAGCCACTGACGTTTCTGGTATCCAGTACCTGGCGTGTGCTTTCAGTCTGAGTAGCACGCCCTTGTCCTGTCATTCAGTCCATCTGCATGTGCTGTAGACCTCCGGTTCTTTTCTACAAAGTGATTTTGATGACATCATAAGGTGACAGGACTTCAGACAGCCCTGTGTACCTCAGATTCACATACCTGCATTGTCTTGCTTCTCCCCTCTTCAGACATATTCATACATAAACTTTGGCTATTCTCACTTCCCTCAAGACAGTTCAGAATTAGAGACAACTTTGGAAATTAAATCTTTAATTTGGGTGAATGAAAATATTTATTTTTGATATTTCTGTATTTGCATATGTGTTTATTATTTCTTTTAACTAATATGTTCTTATTAGTTTGATTGCTTAAAGATTTAATGGACAATATATTTGTAATGGATCCCAAAGAATCAAACAGTATTTTAAACTACTAATATTTAGTTAAGTGGAAACTAGTATAAAACCATAAATACTGCTTTAAGACATTGGCTTTTTCTGGACCATAGCCTTAGGTTGAAGTGACTCTAAAGAATGTTTGCATCTATTTAGAAGTTTATTTGTATGTATGTTCTTTTCATTTTGGGATTGGGTAATTTTTGCTCTAGATAACTCCTGGAAATATCCTAGAGTACTAGGTCATCTGAGGATGTGAATATTTAACTGAGGTCTCTGAAGCTTCCTGATGTGCTTTGAAGCACTGCTCACAGTTTGGGATTCTTATCTTTTCACCAGGAGGATCTTGGTTCTGTTAACTTAGCTGACCTTAAAAGTGTAGACTTTAGGTTCATGTTGCAATAGGTGTTAAGAATTTTGAGTCTCTTGGACCTGTTTTTTGGGAGAGGGAAGGAAAAATCATTTAGAAACTTAATTGTGCCTTTGCAGTTTGGATTATTTTATTTTTAATGTGTTCATGAACTATCTGTGCAAAGTATTCTGGTTATGGTGCTTTCTGGAGGAGTTATTTTGGTGTTATCTATGAATGAAGTTGTCAGAGAAATGGTAGGTAGATAACCAGTAGGGGGAACTGCTTTGAACTTCTAAGTGGAAGCAGCATTTTACACATTTTTTAAAATGCCTTTTAAAAAGTGCTTTATAAGTGTATTACTATGTTTAAATATGAAATTAAAAACAATTTATTCTGATTATGAAGCCAGGGAACCAATATCATAAAATTTTCTACTTACAATTATGTTAAGAGGTAATAATTAACATTGTTTTAACACTTTTCCAATTTTTAAAATCTATGATTGTAATACAGGCAGTTTCTACCTTGTCAAATGCTTAATGGTCTATATGAGCAGATAGTGGAAAATATAGGTTTACAGGAAAAATGATTTATCTTTTTATCCTTAAAATGAGGTTATTCAGAACTTACAACTGTTAACCTTTTCAGGTTACCTAGCAAGGTGATTACTGCAGAGATATTCTTTCTCTGTTTTCAAATATTAAAAATGACCTAGTTAATGTTGTCAGAAGTAAACGATCTCACTTCCGTGCAATTGGGGAGATATTAAAAGATGGGATTCATTTCCCCAGAGAAATAATTGATAATGGTGAATGGAATGAAGGTGTGTGGAAGCAATGTGCTGTTCTTTTTACCTAAAGCACATTGTAGGTTAATATACAGGGGTTGCCAAAAAAAGTATATACATTTTAAGAGATGTTAACTCTGTATTACTTTTCGAAGTTGAATTAACTTACAGTAGCTATGTGTAGTATGAAGTTCATTCAATTGTACTTCTGCTATTTTCTTTGACTGTCCTCCCTATTGCATGGTGACCCTAGTGTTCATTTGACTAATGCCATCTTTTGAGTAAACGTCATACTTAAAATCTGTATACATTTTTTTTGGCACTCCCTGTTTTTAGACTTTGTTGATAATAGAAAAACTATTATATATGACTTTTTTTTTTTAGCTTGGGAGAATGAGTTCTAAGCATACTTTTTGGAGTGTAACCTGTTTGAAAGTTGGAGGCTGCCTGTACCTATGTGGATAGTCAGTTGTTTTAATGCTGGTAATCCGTAAAACTAATGAAGTAAAAACATTTGTGTTGAAATCATATCCTTTATTTATTCATGCATTTTTTTTAACCTTATAAGTATTTAATTTTTTTAATGTGTAATGATAACTTTTTGGTCCTTTTTGGTTTTGGAGAAAGTGAATGGTAGCCTTTCATTTGTATGTTTGACTTTTCTAAAAAATTTGATGTTATGTTATTTTACTAATGAAGGATTATATGTGAGAAATATTTTGTAAAACACTGATGTGCATTACAGATTTTAGTTATAAATACTTAGGTGAAGAAGTACAGAAAATGATTATTCCCAGGTCACAGATAAGAAAACTGAACAAAGCCCAGAGAAAAATGTAACTAGTGGAAAGTATCAGCCCCTCCTTCTCAGTTCAATTTATACGACTTCTAATTTTCTAGTTAAACTCATGACATCGGTATTAAAGAAAATCCCAAGAAAATCTTACTTGGAACGCTCTGCATGCTGTTAGGCATCTTCTTCTTCTGTGAGCTGAGACTGCCTTTGTCAGCCATGTTAAGTTGTCAGGGAAGTCTGTTGCCACAGCTTCCCCAGCACCTTCTGCTAGAGCAAAAAAACCCCCAGGGTTTCACTGACTGTACAATTTTGTTAATTATACATTTTTTAAAGGACTGATTAATTTTAAATAGTAGTAGGTTTTTTTTTTGTAGTTGTTGTTTTTTTTTTTTTTTTTTTTTTTTTTGAGTTAGAGTCTCACTCTGTCACTCAGACTGGAGTGCAGTGGCCGCTCCCGGCCTCCGCAGCCTCGACCTGCTGGGCTCCGGCGATCCTTCCGCCTCAGCCTTCCAAGTAGCTGGAACTATAGGCACATGCTACCCCACCCGGCTAATTTTTGATTTATTGTAGAGATGAGGGCTCGCCGAGTTGCCCAGGTGGGTCTCGAACCCATGGGCTCAGGCAGTCCACTCACCTCAGCCTCCCAAAGCGCTGGAATTACAGGCAGAGCCACCGAGCCCGGCAGTAGTAGGTTAATTAAATTTGTTTGGCAGCCCTCATATTTTCTCATTCATAACTTCTTCAAAAATGAAAAAGTAGATTTGATTTGATATAGGTATAAATACTGATTTTAAGAGCAAATTATTCTAATATTTTTCCTCTAAAATATGTTTTGGTGTATATCTCACAACACTGATAGTTGCAAGTTGAAGTTTAGAAGATATTTGAAACATTTGAAATATTAAATACTAAACCAATTATAATATTTTTTAGATTAGCATTGAAATTGTCAGACAACTGTCAAAGTCTATTGAAGTAAATGTTAGCTTTAGGATGTCAATTAATACTATGGCTATAAGTAATAATGGAAATTAGGACTATAATTTTTTAAAGTTGTAGTAGGGGGTTCCTTATTACTGAAACGATAGCCATTTCTATTAGGATTTTTTAAACCTATGTTTAATTTTATATTGAATAAGTGAATATATATTATTTTGAATTTTTATTAATAGTTAAACTGTGAGACTTGGTTTTTTATTTTAATTTGATATTTTATCTGCAACAACTTGAATTAAAATATTGATACTTTAAGATTTCTCATTAACCACAGGCTAAATAGGAATTACTGATGTCTTCTTTCTTTTTTTTTTTTGAGTTGGAGTCTCTGTCACCCAGACTGGAGTACAGTGGCCACTCCCGGCCACCGCAGCCTCGACCTGCTGGGCTCCGGCGATCCTTCTGCCTCAGCCTTCTGAGTAGCCGGAATTACAGGCGCGCGCTACCATGCCCAGCTGATTTTTTGATTTATTGTAGAGATGAGGTCTTGCTGCCCAGGCGGGTCTCAAACCCGCGGGCTCAGGCAATCCACTCACCTCAGCCTCCCAAAGGATATCTTCTTTCTTATTTCTCCATTTGTGTTAGTGCAAGTTACTCATTTCTAAGGGTTTCATTTTCTTATTTGTAAAGTGGGGAATTCCTTCTTTAGGTATTGATGTTTTGAGGGCTAAACAAGATGACTATTACACTTGAAACTTAGTAGTTAATTTTTTTTTTTTTTTAAAAATGGCAACTTTTTTTTTTCTTTCCCAAAGAAGCTGCTAATACAGTGTCACATCACTTACTTGGGAGGAATCCAGTTACCTTAGCAACTTCCCATAGTAAAGATTTGACCTTAGTACTTCAACTATTCGCATTTGATTTATTCTCTGTTAAGGGCTTACCTTTAACTTTTATCATCGTTGGTATTATGTCTTGACACTCATGTTCAGCAAGTCGTCCTTTATCAAATATTCTGTTACTGAATTACAGAGAGTATGTTGAGAATCAATAGTGTATGGTTGACTGTAATCTGTTTACAAAACTCTTCTTTAAGGTTACATTAACATTGATTATTGTTCTTTTTAGACAAAAAGAACATTGGTTCAAATCATTAGCTTTCATGCCCTCTCATCCACTTGATTTGTCATGTCTTTTAAATAGTTTTTAACAGTAAAACATTTTAATCTTACAGTGTATTGCATTTCTTACATTAATAGAGTGATTCGAGTAATATAAAGTTAATTATCACACTATTTGATATAAAATTTTATTTAAAATTATAATTATTTTTACAAGCATTTTGAACAAACATCTTTTAAGAAGTAAATTAGCCTGACAAAACAAAGTTATTTTTATGTCTAGTCTTTTAACTTAGAAATGCAGATTTTTAAAAATGTAAATTAGGAAAAAATGTTAAATGTGAAGAATTAGTAATAGTTATATAGGAACTAAGAGATATATTTTTTTGAGGTTACTTAATTGAAAAATAAACAGGATCTCAACCATGACAGTTTGATTTTAGTTACCCACACATCATGCTGAATGATTACCAACTCTGATAAAGTAAGAAACTTGTTTTAGATGGTCTTAATACTTAAATCTGGTGGAATGCATTGTCATTTTAATTTTTGGCACCGTTTTTAGGCACATCCAATTTATTCCTTATACATGTTCAACACAGCTTACAATCACTACATGAAAGACTACTAGAAGGAAAGAAAATAACATAGAAAAGTATAATTTAGATTTTAGTTGCATAAACATTTATCTCTTGTTTAAATATGGTGTTATTATTCTCCTAATTAGTACTGTTATTACCAAATACTAATATTTGAAAGGTACCCAGTCTGTTAATTTTTTTCTCACATTCCACAGATGTGTTCAAAGCAACATTGTTTTGTTGACACAAGCCTTCAGAAGAAAGTTTGTCATTCCCGACTTTATGTCTTTTACCTCACACATCGATGAGTTATATGAAAGTGCTAAAAAGCAGTCTGGAGGAAAGGTAATGCTTTTGATGTACATGTTTCCCTAACCCAATCACTTAATAAATTCAGCTCATTTGAGGTCTAGAGAGTAAAATTGTGTACTTTTCTTGTATTTTGCTAAAGAAAACACTTTGTTTTAGAAATAGCTTTGTTAGAGAAATTTAACTTAAAATGAAGCTACTGGATTTAGTGTTTTTAAAAGTACTTTAAATACTTAGCTTGAATTGTTCTGGCTAAAAAAATATTTCTAAGATAAAGAATTCTTTTTGATTTCAAATGATTAAGGTGGTTTTTAAATTTAATAAAAAACCTTATTGAGAATTTTTGCAGATCTGGTATCTTTAACATTAAATGAAATGTTTCTACTTTTAAAACTTCTCTAAATAATAGTACTGGGGACTCTTATTTAATATCCATATGGGAAGTTTTGATTTTCTTTTATCTTAACTTTGAGTAGCTTTAATATAATACTCTTGACTCTTGAACAATGCAGGAGTTAGGGATGCTCACCCCCAGGCAGTTGGAAATTTGAGTATAACTTCTGACTCCCTTAAAATTCTACTAATAACTACTGTTGACCAGAAGCCCTCCTGATAACATAAATAGTCGATTGACACATATATTATATGCTATATATATTATATAGCATATTCTTACAATAAAGTAAGAGGTTAGAAAATGTTACAGAGGAAATCACAAGAAAGAGAAAATATATTTACTGTTCATTAAGTGGCCATGGATCATCATGAAGGTCTTCACCTTTGTCTTCAGATTTAGTAGACAAGAAGACAGGCTAGTCTTGCTGTCTCAGGGGTAGCAGAGGTGGAAGAAAATCTACATATAAATGGACCCTCACAGTTCAAACTGTGTTGTTCAAGGATGACCTGTATAACCTCTTGATAGTAATTTCAGTGTAAATTCATATTACTTATTTTGAGGTATTTGTTTCCTAATTTTTTAGACAGTGAAACCCTACCAGCACCCACAATCCTGATTAAAGAAGTTTTTTACTTTTTTCCTATTAAAAAACAAAAACAAGTTCAAGTTCCTCTTTTAGATTCTGCTTTTTTTTTTTTTTTACAAAGAAAGCATTGGAAAACATAAGGAATGATAGAGACTGAGAGAAGACACTTTAGCTCTCACCTATAATCCTCAGATTTGTTGTTCCCTCAGTTTTCATGAACATTGTTATAAAAGATAGACTGCAAAGCCACTGAGTGTTCTAAAATAGCTAGTCATTGATGGATGCTAAATTTAGATGATAACATTTTTGCTAAAAGTATGTTACGTCTGTTAATTTCTTTCCAATGTTTTGGACAGGTTGCAGATTATATTCCTCAACTGGCGAAATTCAGTCCTGATTTATGGGGTGTGTCTGTTTGTACAGTAGATGGGCAGAGGTAAGTTTATTTCAGTTCCATGAAACCAACTCTGAGTCTTAAGTTTTGCAACACCAGTGAGCATGACATAGTGAAGACCATCTTTTATAAGGAAAATTAGTCCTAACATGACTTAATTTCAAAAAGTTCAGTAAATTTAGATTTTACTGTAATTTTTAAAAATCACCTGAAAGCAGTAACCGTATACTAAGTTTTATGAGGCATTTCATTTATCTTATTCACACTTCTCGTCTTTTTTTTTTTTGAGTATTCTTCAAGTACCTGCAGTTACAAATTTGTTTAGGAAAAGCAGACTTGTTAAAACATGATAGATATTATTCTATAATAATTGACCACTAATAAAATTAGTCCCCATTTCTCACTTTAACACTGGTAACCTATACTGTCAACCGTCTTTGTTCCTCATGCTGCCAATGTGGTTAGCAGGAGTGCTGAGACAGTGTAACAGAATATGTCCCATTTTCCTTCAGTCATTTGCAAAGTGAAAAGTCAGGGCCTAACATATAGGATTTCTTGAAGTCCATGAAAGCGATATTTGGGAAATGCTTACATTGAAGGCACAGCCACTGACAAATGAGGAATTTGAAGAATTTTTTTTTTTTTTTTTTTTTTTTTGAGTTGGAGTCTCACTCTGTCGCCCAGACTGGTGTGCATTGGCCACTCCCGGCCACCGCAGCCTCGACCTGCTGGGCTCTGGCGATCCTTCTGCCTCAGCCTTACAAGTAGCCGGAATTACAGGCATGCACTACCACGCCCGGCTTATTTTTTGATTTATTGTAGAGATGAGGTCTCACTGCCCAGGCGGGTCTTGAACCCACGGGCTCAGGCAATCCACTCACCTCAGCCTCCCAAAGGCGCGGGATTACAGGCTGAGCCACCAAGCCCGGCTAATTTGCAGAATTATAAAAAAGAGAGTGATGTAAGATTGGAAAATGGTAAAGTTGTAAAATATTTTGTAAAGAATGACCCTTTTTATTTTGCTGGGAATCAAGCATCAAGATTATTATCATGTATTTGATTTTGTCATAAAAATTATGCCCAAGAGAAAAATCAGTATTCTTTTTTCACCACTTAAAGACTTAGCTCAGAAATGTATTTGTTTTGGTTTCTTATTAAAGTGATTATTTCTTTTTTTACTAAAGTATAACATAAAATTAGGTGTTCAACTTGTAATACAGCTCAAATAACTTGAATACAGCTCAAATAATTTATATCAGGAATGTAATTTTACCTAATTTTTAAAAACTTCAGGTCATTTAACCTAATTATTTTAGATTTTGCTCTATCAAGATAATGTCCCAGGTTCAAGCTTTATTCCTCTTTTTATGAAAAATTTGATCTTAGAAGTGCTTTTATCCAAGTGCTTTTTATATTTTATTTTATTTTAATGCCAATTATCCTCAAGTATTTACAATAAATAAAAAACATATGGTTTAGCCCATTCATTTTAAAGATAAGGAATCTGAGGCTCAGAGTTGACATGATTTTGGTAAAGGTGAAATGAGCACCAATGTCTCTTAACTTCCAATTCATGGTTTTCTCTAAGAGCACGTAACCTCATTTGGGTTTGTAAAAGGTACTGAGCACTCACTGTCACTTGAATTAAATGTTGGATGCTGTGAAGGGACACAAAAAAATGAGAAGACATGGTGATTTTATCCCATGGAGCAAATTCCAGGAGGGAGTGATATTCCTATGTTTGTACTTTGAGGAAATAGTTTATCAAATGATGGAAATATTCAAATTTGAAGAAAATTTTTATCATGTAAGGCTTGCACATCATTTTTCTTTTCTTAAACATTCTCTGTGCCTTTTAATTTTCTTATCTAGAGAATTCTGAAAGTTGGCTTTAGAGTGAGAACATACATGTTTTTAAATCCAAAGGTACTAAGGCAGGCTTTTTATCATTTTTAGAGTGATAGTCAAGTTGAAGTTATAGTCTATTTCAAAATCATGCATAAATGTGTTAGGAAAAATATGATGTGCTTTTGCTTGCTCTCTCTATCCATCCATCCATCCATCCATCCATCCATCCATCCATTCATCCATCCGTGTTTGTTTATATAATGCACTTAGAAGTGAGGTGGCCATGTGTTCCTGTTTGACCTGTTATGACTTTGTTCACCTCTGTCTGTAGTAGTTATTAATAGTGTCCAGTTTCACCATGAATGAGTTTCACTTTTAGTGAATGAATGCCTGTAATGTGTTGCAATCTTGTTCAGGGTACCTGGGCTACATCAGTAAATAAAACAAAGATCTCTGCTCTGTGAAGCTTACATTATAATTGGACTGGCCAGAACTTTTTCATTCCCAGATGTACTCTCTACTTCATGTACCCACAAGGCTTTCTTTTCCACTCTGTTTCTATCTACATGGTATTGATTACTGCCTACTGGAAATTAGTGCCAATTTTATCAGGTTTATAAAACTGGAAGCTTTTTCTTTTAATGGGGCTGGAATTGTGAGTGGTTATAGTTCATGAGACGAGGTATTTATAGATAGGATCTCAGAGAATAGTACTGAATCTAAACTGAGCTCTGTTTAACTTTAACCATATGTATATATAGCAACAGAACATAATGTTTTTTCCTATTGAATTTATGCATAATTTCTAACTCAGGCTATAACTTCATGGTTCAGCCATGGTTTAAGGCTATGTGTAAAAAAATGGTGATAATTTCTAATTCGGCTAGCTCACTGAATATGATTGGATACAGGAGAGCAGTGTGCTTTTCTCTTGCCCTTAGAGAAAAATTTCCGCATTCCTTTCTTATTGATTATCTAATTTAGAGCCATTATTCATTATTCTGTTAGCAGAGTACTTCTATGCTTTTGCCTTTTTTCTCACTATCTTAGCCTCTTATGATGAATGTGCAGCTGGCCCTTTGTGTCTGTGGGTTCCACTTCCGTGGATTCAACCAGAGATAGAAAACAGTGTTAAAAAAAGATGTATGATGTGTACAGACATTTTTTTGTCCTTGTTCCCTAAACAATACAGTATTATTTGCATAGCAGTTACATTGTGTCAGGTATTATAATTAATCTAGAGATAAAGTATTTGGAAGGATATGTGTAGGTTTATGCAAACACCAAGACACTTTATAGAAAGGACTTGAGCATCTGTGGATTTGGGTATCATGGGAGTTCTTAGAACCAGTCCTTCACAAATCCCAAGGGATGACTAATATATTTATTCTTTAATACTGAAGTAAACTTTTGTGATTGAATTATGGAGACATTTTTGTAAATTGGAATTAACTTATAAAAAGAGTAACTCTAATTCTGCAGTTATGTTTTTTCTCTAGTTGATGTTAATTATTTTTAAAATCTACTTTTAAATAGGCATTCTATCGGAGATACCAAAGTTCCCTTTTGTCTCCAGTCCTGTGTAAAACCTTTGAAATATGCCATTGCTGTTAATGACCTTGGAACTGAGTATGTGCATCGATATGTTGGGAAAGAGCCAAGTGGATTAAGATTCAACAAATTATTTTTAAATGAAGATGGTAAGGATTACATAAAAATTGGTTGGAAACAGAAATATCTCATTTTCCTATGTAAATCTAAGTAGTTACAACATTTTTTGGAAGAAAATTAAAAGTGTTTTTTCATTTGCAATCCATAGAGATAGTTTAATCAACTGCTTTTAAAAATGGTTATTTTAGGCTTCCCATATAACTGGGGAGTGGTTCAGGGAGAAGATGAGGGCCCGAGTAAGAATTTCTCTTTATGACCACCCGTAGAGAATTATCTTGTGGCAAAATCTCAAAATGTCTGGGCTGGAGGCAGCTGGGAGTACTGGATGTGGTTATTACTGTATGTTGGTAATTATCGCAGCTAAGTGATGGGTACATGGGTGTTTGTAGATTATTCTTTCTACTTTTGTATGTTGTATATAGTATTTTGAAAACTTCAATAGTAAAAAGTTTTTATGGTGGCCTTGTTGAGATAGTGAATGGGGATTTTTTTCATTGACAGTGTTAATGATATCCTACTAGTATGTAATTGATAGATGGCAAAATGTGTGAGTTGGTTATATGTGTATAGGATTTAAGAAAGAGAAGTTGAGCTAGTGTTCATGAGGAAGGCAAGACTGAATTGGTAGAAAGGACTGGATTGAATTTTGGTTGGTTGGGAAGAATGTGAGGGGCACTGCAGAATCAACCTGATAGAGAGAATGTTGCAGACACATGTGAAGGGAGATAATTAGGTTTCTTTAACTAGAATTTGTATATAGCACTATAAAGTTCTAGTATAATACCTAAAATAGAAATATCCAAATTAAACTGGATATACTTGTTGATACTTTTTAGTTCTTTAGTGTATATATTTGAAAACTTTGACTTAGCCTTAACTGTGAGCCAAATATTAGTGTGGTTCATATGCTCAATGATGTGAAAAGCCTCTAATATAATATGAAAGACCTCTGTGTGGTTTTGCCTTGGGGAGAAGAAATACTTGTTAAAATTGATTAGTTTTGTGCATTCCAGTTAAAAACATGTCCATAAATTTCAGATGTTCATTTTGTCAGTATACCAAGCTCTCATATATGTCATTGCTTCAAATGGTAGCTTTTATTAAATTAGTGTGTTATGTGGTACTTCTGCTGTTCTTAAATACCATTTAATTAAGAATTCTAAATGGAGCTCTTCAACCCTATCTTATTCATGGGAGAGCAGGGAAAAGTAGATTTCACAGTCATAGCCTTAGGCAAGTTTTATATTGCAGGTGGACTGGTGGTCATTATGTTGTATTTTCTGTGGTGGAATTCCAAATGTTCAAATGTCTGGCATTTGAGCCAAAGGCATAGTGTGAGCAGTTACATTTGAAAATATTGTAATCATGCCAAGAAATGATTTAGTGTTCTTTAAGATATCTTGAGTGTAGTATATGTAGCATTTGCTGAATACTTACCATTTAGAAAATATTTAATGCCTATATTATGTGGTACCATTTAGAAAACCTACATTATCAGCCTCCTAAGGCTGTAGAGTTTGAGCCTGATAATGTCAGAAAACTCTAGAATGACAGATATCTGAACATCTGTGCAAAATTTAAAGTGATTGAGCATAGCCCGATTTCTATATTCTGCTTTCTGTCTGCATGTGGCTTTTCTTTCAGGTGGATAATATTTGGAAAATTGTGTTTCTTGGCTCCCTCTTGCCATGTAGTATTCTTCTGGGACAGCAAATGCTTTCATTTTGTGTGGCCTCAAAAATAGCAAACTTCTCTTAGCATAATTTGGAATAGGCAAATCTTGATTGCAATAATCACATGTAGCACTGAGTTTTTCTTTTCTTTTTGGATTAGAAAATATAGTTTATTTATAAAGTAAATTAGAAAGAAAGAGGAGATTTACTTCCCCAGTGTAGGGGAGGAGGCCAAAGCTAAGAAGCATGGCTACAACCATAGCTCAAAGAGCACATGACCACATCAGAGTGTAGTAAGGCCAGCACCAAGATTTTATTTTAACGTTTAGAACTAGGCATTATCATGAGTAAACCAAAATGTGCATTTTTAAAATTTTATTTTTAATTGACAAATAATTGTATATATTTATGGTGACAACATGATGTTTTGAAATAGATATATGCATTGTGGAATGACTGGCTAAATCAGACTAATTAACTTATATATTGCCTCACGTTTTTCATTTATTTGTAGTGAGAAGACTTAAATCAACTTTCTTAGCAATTTTAAAGTATATGATACTGTTATTAACTATAGTTATCATGTTGTAAAATAAATCTCTTAACTTACTCTTCTATTTAACTGAAACTTTGTGTCCTTTGACCAATCCTTCCTCCCCTCCCCCACCTCTGGAACCTCCCGAGGAAGCTTGTAAATAGATGTTTTCACAGACCCCAAGAGTTTATGTTTGGCATTGTGCCATGCATTGAATGAGAGTAGAAATTATTCTTCCTATTTAATTGAAATTTGTGCCCTTTGAACCAACCTCCCTTCCCCTCCCCCACCTCTGGTACTCACCCTAGGTAGATAAATTAGGAAGCTTGTTTGTAAATAGAGTTTTCGCAGACTCCAAGAGTTTTATGTTTGGCATTTGTGCCATACAGTGAATGAGAATATAATCAGTTGAGATTTGAAACTCTATTTATTATAAGAATTAATAGAGGAGGTAGGATTTTGGATGAATTTAAAATTTTAAGTAACATTAGTTTACTTTAACTTTTTAACTTTAAAAGTAACTTTTAAAATTATATAAGAAATACATTCTTATTTTCAGGAAAAATAGAAAGCATAGTGAATACAGTTTAAAATCCCCTATAATGTTATTATTCTGTGTAAATCACTTGATTTTGTTCTGTGTATGTCTGTGTTTATTCATAAAAACAAAAATGAAACACTTTAAGAAAGCAAAATTGGGTTTATAATAGCTGTACTTTTTCCAAGGTTGTTATTATTATTATTTTTTTTTATTATTTTTATTTTTTTGAGTTAGAGTCTCATTCTGTTACCCAGACTGGAGTGCAGTGGCCGCTCCCTGCCACCGCAGCCTCGACCTGCTGGGCTCTGGTGATCCTTCCGCCTTAGCCTTCCGGATAGCCGGAATTACAGGCGCGCGCTACCACGCCTGGCTGATTTTTTTATTTATTGTAGAGATGAAGTCTCGCTGCCCAGGCGGGTCTCGAACCCTCAAGCTCAGGCAATCCACTCATCTCAGCCTCCCAAAGGCACGGGACTACAGGCTGAGCCACCGAGCCCTGGCTCCAAGGTTATTTTTAATAGAGTAGTATTAGTCAAGTGAGTAAGTATTTGAAATAATACTACTGTTTTTATATTTTACAGATAAACCACATAATCCTATGGTAAATGCTGGAGCAATTGTTGTGACTTCATTAATAAAGGTAAAATGTTGACATTTCCTTTTAACTTAGTAAACTTTTATTAATAACTAAAGGAGGCATAAAGATGAATCTTATTATTTGTAGGACTATGAAGAGTTTTCTCTTGGTGTTAAAAAAAATTAATCTTATGGTTATTGGGTTAGGATTTTTATTTCATATAAATGATATGTTATTTCAAGACCAAAATTAAAAACAGATGACTCATTGTAAATTCTAGCAGTTAGTTACTCTTAACTTGAAGGTTGATCTGGCGAATATTTTAAAAGAAGTCTTTTAAATGGAACAATAGGCACAGAGGTTTTACTTTTAAAGTTTTGATATTTTCCTTTCTCTTCCTTTTGGCTCTTCTAGAACGAACAGATATAAACGGAATTAAAAGCATTTTACTATATAATGTTTATTACTAGCATATATAGGAACCAATTCTAGAACTTTGTGTTGAGACAAAGTACATTTGCCCTTGAATATCCTCAAGTCTTTGGTACTCTCATGAGCTGGAATCACAGTTTTTCTTTGAACTTGTTTTATTTATTTTAACTTAATTCATGCCATAGTTAAGATAAATAAGGCTTATTCCAATTATTAAGTTATATTTTCTTATGCTTTGAAGTTTGTGTTGTATTTTTTTTAAGTGTTTGGTTTTCCTTAATAATTGGAAGCTCTATGTTGTTTTGAAATAAGTATTTGAAAATGGTTCTATTGCGTGATTTTTATTTCCCACAATTTTAGATTTTTCATATTTTTCATTTAGATTTTTAATTTCTATTTATAATTTTTTATATTCAAATAAATTTCATTTGTGTTTGGAACATTTGTATACTTTCTTCAGTAAATCTGTGCCTGTCTATTCCAAATTAGAATAAAGCATAATCGTATGGCTTTGTAGATATATTCCTGCAGATGGAGTACCCTGGTTACTAACACAAAGGATGCTTGAGTATAAATACGTTTTTGGTCCAGTTCACAAAAATTCATCTAATTTGTATACTGAAATCCTTTCATAACTTTCATAAGTTTCATGTCTTCTTGAGAAAAAGCTGTTAAAATAGAAGACTGCTATCTTAAGTATAAATAAGTTTAGTTGTTATTTTGAGGCAAATTCTTTGTAAATATTGGCCCACTTAATTCTTCCAGTTTTAACGAAGTAGATTTCACAGCTAAGTATTTTTTTTAATGTACCTAATTTTAATAGGCTATGGAAATGTTCATTTTCCCCATTATAACATCTAGTTATTCATTGTTATTTTATATAAGAAAAAGTTGTCAGTTTGAGGTGAAAGAAACTTGATTAAAGAAAATGGTTATGTGCTTACATGTGGGCACAGTCCTGCCTTTAGACAGCCTACACTGTAGTGTGGAATATGCACAAGTAAATGGGCCATTGTAATGAAATTCAGTAAATGCTGCAGTGAGAGAAAAGCCTCAATAATTTCTCAGATTTGAACAAATAACTTAATTAGAAGTAAAGAAATGTATTATAGTATAACATATGTGTTAATGTTTGATGAGAAAAACACTAAAATGGTTCTGAACCTTTTTGGATCTTCCCAGAAAAATATTCACGTACCATTATTTTACATAAACCTGAGTGTTTATGGACAATGAACTGATCCACGGATCCCAGCTCAAGAACTCTTAAAATGGAGAAAGATTAACATGGTACACTAGTCAGTCTCAACAAAGGGCATATGTAAATGATTAATGAAGACTCCCTTAACTGCATGCAGTTAAAAATCTTTTAATGATTCATGAGTTTAACAAATGCCACTGAAATGCCGCATGTGGGAATTGCATGTCTGGTCATATCACACCATCATTCATTAGTTTCACTTCCCATGTTCAGTCATGAGCTATATATAAACTATGGACTATACATTGAGCCATATTAGAATAAGCAATTAGAAACAGTGAAACACACTCAGCATAAGTGTGGTTCAGGTGTTCAACAGTGCAAACATTTAACTGAGTCATCTTGTACTTATAAGTTTGATCAAAACTGATAAAAAAATTTAAATTTACTGGCAAAGGTGGAAATGAGGCTTTGGGAGTATGGTTTATGTTTAAGGTCACTTTCTTTAGAGTTTTTTTTTGTTTGTAGAATGTTTCACAAATGCTGTATTTTAAAAATGAAATTCATACAAATCTTATAGGGGAAGGCTGATATAACCCTGTGTAAAACAGACTGCCCCAGATTGTAATACTTTTCTTCATAGAAACATCTGTATGTGATCTCTGCAAATTGTATGATCACATAATATTTATGAATTGGTAATGGTTTGAAACTGAGGCAATAAACCATAGCCAAAAGGGCTTTAAGAATCATCAAACTCAGCCCTCTTGCTTTATATGATGAAGAGACAGGCTGGATAGGTTGGAACAGGAGTAGAATCAGGCTTGAGCTAAATCTGCTAATATTCTGTTTGATGTGTATTGCAACTCAGCTCTGCCCATATTTAATGTAGGTGTTTACTGTTTCTCTTGATGACATCTTTGACTTTAACTAGCATAGTTATATTGCCCAAAATAAAGAAATTTTATTTTATTAATTTGAACTTGTACAAAGGATATTGATTCATTGACTTAAAAGTCACATCTGTTTTTTAGCAGTTGTATGTAAAAATTCTTTGGACATTAGTCAGTGCCTGTCTGTAAGGAACAGAATCCTTTCCCAAGGTGCTTGCATTTGAGTACCCAAAGCAAGGATACTGACCATGACTATAGAGGTGAATTCCGTTTCTTAGCTCTTTTTGTTGATAACCTTAAGGCTGTGGTTTTCTTTCAAAATTCAGGAATTTATCATGGTGCCATTCAAACAGTTCTTCTCATGCTACTCCCTACACCCGAAAATTAAGTAGAGTCTTTAGTAAGACTCTTTATTTCATAATTTTGTAGTATTGATATTTTTTCCTTGTAGGATTGATGGTGATCCTCAGGAAATGGGGGAAGAGGCAGAGCAAATGTTCAAAAGGATTAGCAGATTGTGGAAAAAGGAGGATTTGGACAGAAGGAACCTGTTGCATAAATTCTTAACTACTAAGCTTATAGAAAAACTCCAATATTTAAAATTTTAAACAAAGCTATATAGGTAAATACTTTTTTAAAGACAAATATCATTTTATACTTAAAATGCACATAATTAAAAACATAAGGGTGCTTTACTTCCTCTCTTTCTTTGGTAGCTAATAACTTTTTTGTGTTGTAGTCTGTTATATTTGATGATGATAATGTATGATTGCTTGATATAAAGGAAAGAATAAAAATACATTTGAAAAGAATAGTTATTTTTATATGAAATAGCAGTGTCCTTATGTAATTTTTTTTCTTTTCAGTGGTACAGTTTTCTCCTGGTTTTGGTTTAAAAGTTAAGGTCTGGCGATAACTTGAGGGTTATGGTGGGAATATGAGGGGAACATACTGCAAAATAATTGCCAACTTAGGCTTTTTCATTGTAGACATAGGGAGTAAGTTACATGGTCTTCTGTGTTTATGTATCCTTATTCTAGTGGTAGTTTCCAGCTTTTGTTATTGAAGAAACTCAATTTTTTAAAAATTAGAAGTACTTTTTAATTTAAAATTTAGAGTTTTCACTTTGTCTCTCTTTAAACAATTTAATCATGCTCCATGAAAATCAAGACAAGTTTAGCTAATATATTTGTAATGTTCAGTTTGGTCATGTTAGCAATGACCTGTTAGACTTGCTTATAAGCTACATTTTTAAGATGGTTTGTGACTGGGGAATAATGAATGCCTTGGACTTGGTAACATTGAGAAGACAAGATTATATTGGTTATTTACTTCATGTTTCTATCAGCTTATGCATTTGATTTTTTAAAAAATGAAAGGTGATCATTTATTGTTGGCCGAAAACTATTCTGCCACTTTACTTTTAGGGTTAACTTATGGAAATACTAGATCTAAAATTTTTTTATCTGTAATATCTATTTTTAATTTTCCAACTGTTGTTTAGCTTTAAAGATTAAAAATATTTTATAAAATCCTTTTCACTTTCCTCTTTTTGCCTCTTTCCTCTGTGATCTCTAAATTTTAATTGCCTCACACCCCTATATTTTCTGAAGGAAATCAAGTGAGTTACTTAACAAAATAACTCTGAATAATGCATTGACTATAAATGAGCCATTTTTATATTAAATTTATTGGCAGGTGTCCTTATTAACAGTGATATTTACATGAATCAATTATGAATATATTGTGAAAACAGTATAAAATGCTACTATATAGTTATATTAATTTTTCCAATGTTAAAAACCCAGTGTCTCATTTTCATATTTTCATCCATAACATCTTCAAAGGAATTAAAACACACATAAAAGAAACAGAATCTATGACTTGATAGGCATATCTGTAGAAAAATAAATTTGTATAATTTCTAGTGTCAGGATCTGATTATCCTTTTCAAACAACCTACACGGTTTGTTATTAAAAGTCATTTGGTAAGCCGGGCTCAATGACTTAGCCTGTAATCCCACGCCTTTGGGAGGCTGAGTTGAGTGGATTGCCTGAGCCCGCGGGTTCGAGACCCGCCTGGGCAGCGAGACCTCATCTCTACAATAAATCAAAAAATTAGCCGGGCGTGGTAGCGCACGCCTGTAGTTCCAGCTGAGGCGGAAGGCTGAGGCAGAAGGATCGCCGGAGCCCAGCAGGCGAGGCTGCGGTGGCCAGGAGCGGCCACTGCACTCCAGTCTGGGTGACAGAGTGAGACTCCAACTCAAAAAAAAAAAAAAAACGTCATTTGGTGAATGGATTTGAAATTTAGGTAAATATATCTTTTCCAACTTAGTTTCTTTAAAAAAATGTTTCTACTGTACTGTAACTTGCAAAATTAAAATAGCACAACATTTAATGCTAGTACAATGATCTTCACACTGGGATAAACATGAGTTCTTCTAAAGGGATAAAGGGGCATTGATAGTTTTAAGACAGCATCTTCCAGATCTGTTTCTGTATGTGCCTTTTAAAAAGTTAATCTTCCTTTGGTCCAAGTGTCCTCCCATTTTCTAAAAGAAAGGAAACTGTTTCATGTGTTTCATTTTATTATGATGTGCTACTTCAGATTGTACAAATCTCTTGGGCCAAGAAAAGAGAACATTTTGAAATGTTGGAGTCAGTGTTACTAGGATGTGAGTCACTGGCAGTAAATCCTGTTGTATACCAGGTTGTTTACAGTCCTTTGGATTTCAGCAAAACTGAAGGAAGATCTGAACAAGTTGTGAGTTAATAAGAGCATTAGCCAAAATGTTGAGGAGAGATAATTGTGACTTCTGGCATGTAATGTTGTAGAGGCACATATAGAACTGATGATGTTGCTGTAACAAAACTTTTTATATCTCAATCTACTTGTCTCTTATAAGCAAAGTTTCCCAACTCATGTGTCTGTAAAAATTAAAAATTGGAAGAGAATTAATTCTCAACAATAGAAAATGTCTACTAATACATGAACTGAAAGTCAAGTACTGTTTGAATAGGGAAAGGAAATTATTAGCAGATACCTTTCCTTTAACTTTTTTAATGAAAAATTCAAACACATATAAAGTAAACAGAATAGTATAACTAGCTTTCATGTACTCATTCCCAGCCTCAATTTTTGTAACATCTATTCATCCACTCCCTCACCCCTGCTCCATGATGTTGATGATAATGGTTCTTTGTAGCTTTTGGTTTTGCCCTTTTGGATGGGGGGCTTAAATTATTTTGTATTGAAGGCTGAGGCGGAAGGATCGCTGGAGCCCAGCAGGTCGAGGCTGCGGTGGCCGAGAGCGGCCACAGCACTCCAGTCTGGGTGACAGAGTGAGACTCAACTCAAAAAAAAACCAAAAAAATTATTTTGTATATGTATGTATGTGCTTTTCTTAAGAACTTTGCAGATAACCTTTTTCAAAATTAAAATAACATGATATCTTAATAATCATTAGCTCCCATAAGTCCCTGGGGTACATTAAATTTTTCCAAGAGAGAGAGGGCGGGTATATTTTATTGATTTAAGTTAAATGTTATTTTCAGGGTAGATAATAAGAACAAACAAAAATAATCAAGTGTCTTTACATTTAAATAGGGAAGTTTTGGGGAGAAACATTCTTTATTCAACACAATCATTCAATACAGGCATACCTTGGTGATATTTCAGGTTTGGTTCCCAGACCACCACAGTAAAATAAATACTGCAGTAAAGCAAGTCACAAGAGTTTTTTGTAAACCATTGCATATAAGTTAGGTTTATACTACTCTTTATTTATTCAATAGCATTATGTGTAAAAAACAATGAACATCTTAACTTAAAATATAGCTAATATGTCATACTCTTCCTGTAGCGCCTCATCTCTCTCAGCCTTCACAGAATTAAAGAGGTAGGGTTTTGCTGTGGTTTAGGATTTGACTTAAGGGAATGTTGTAGCTGATTTGATCTTCTATCCAGACCACTCAGACTTTCTCCGTATTAGCAATAAGGCTGTTTCACTTTCTCATCATTTGTGTGTTCACTGGAGTAGCACTTTTTATTTTCTTCAGGAGCTCTTCCTTTGCATTCACAGCTTGGCTGTCTGTTCGGCCCTAGAGACTCAGACGTCAGCCTCTTTTGGCTTTCAACATGCCTTTCTTACTGAGCTTAATAATCATTTCTGACTTTTGATTTAAGTGAGAAATATGCTATTCTTCCTTTGATTTGAACACTTAGAGGCCATTGTGGGGTTACTAATTGGCCTAATTTCAAAATTGGTCTCAGGAAGAAGGGAGGCCCCAGGAGAGAGGGAGCAAGACAGGGGAACAGCCTGTTGGTGAAGCAGCCAGAACAAACATGACAGTTTTTTATTAAGTTCACTGTCTTATATGAGCATTGGCTTGGGACATCCTAAAACAATTATAATAGTCACATCAAAGATCACAGGTCCCCATAAAAGATAAAATAATAATGAAAAGTTTGAAATATTGAGAGAATTACCAAAATGTGACTTGGAGACACAAAATAAGTACATGCTGTTGGAAAAATAGTGCCAATAGACTTGTTCAACACAAGGTTGCCACAATCTTCACTTTGTAAAAAAATAAAAATAAATAAGCAAAACTATGAAACACAATAAAATGAAGCTCCGTAAAACAAGGTATGCCTATATATTGTTTTGCTCTGTTTACATAATCTGCCTAGAGCATTTTGAGTTCATTTACTAGTAATGTCCTGTGTAATGATAGACATGAGTCAATATCAGTTATTTTTTAAAAAACAACATAAAAGCAAAACTCAGTTGTGCTTTAGTTTAGTAAGCTACAAAATAGGACAATTTTGTGAGCGTAATCTAGAGTTGAAACTATATGTATAGTTTAGGTCAGAGAATGAAAGTTCAGTGTAACTTAACTTCATTTTACATTAATTGTTTAACCAGTAATTATCCATGTGACATCCCAATGCAAATGCTGACATCCATTTCCAAAAGAGTTGGGTTTTTTGTGCTTTTTCTAAGGTTAAAAGGTTTTTGTGGCTTAAATGTTGTTACATATTTTACAGCATTAGGATCTATGGAATATTTTGACAACTGCAACAGTTCAATGAAGTTGGTAATTTCTGCTTTTAATTATTTTTCATTGAACAGCTTTGGAGTTACATTTCTGCATTTTGATTTCTGGTGTATAGTGAAGAAAGAAAACTTAAAATGTGTTCAAGGATACTTTAGAGAAAAATACAAACATAATGATTACAATACGGCTGAAACTAAATTATCTTTATCTTGTTTACGTTTTGTTAACATCTAATTTTGATGAAATAGATGGTGTTCCTTCCAGCTACTGACTGTGTATGTGTGATTGCACATCTTTCATAAATAAGTTCATTTGTCGTTTTTCACATATTATGAAAATGCCCTAATCCTTTTATAAAGGCTTTATTCAATTAAATGATATAGGTTTTCCCCCATAATAATATTTGAAAGTATGATGTTTTGAATTTTTTGGAGGGTACAGTAAAAAAAATATGTTTTTAAAACTTTAGTTGTCAAATTATTTTATCTTAAACCTGTTTAGAAATTAGAGATGTATTGTTTCTTTTGGGTGCATATCACCAATTAATACGTTTGATTTCAGATCTACAACTTACTGCTTTGTAAACTTCGCCGAGGTAAAATGAAACCATTTGGCTACTTGAACTGATCTACGTTACATAGGTTTTTCCTATTGACATTTCAGTAGATAACATGTCAGAAATAGAATGATGAAACAATACATCTTTCATACTCTGACTTGGCATAATGCTACGTACAGTTGAAGCTAATTTTTAAAAAAACTATGACATACTATTTTTTTAGTTCAAGTATTGTTATAACTAGTGTAGAGCTTTCTGTACACTAGTAAACATATCCAGAATGTTTGCATATACTGGAATTATAAAGGACTAGTTTGTTTTGCAACATAACTGATTTTTCTAACTGTAATACTGGTTTAAGAATTAAAAATATATAAGTAGATTGTTCTTAATTAAAATAATGAATAATGATTTACGTATATTTATTCTTTTCTAAAGGTGAAACTTTAAGTTTCTAGAAATATGAAATTGAATAACATACATTTTAGCAGTTTATGTGCTGTCATGAGAGATAAGGAATTCATGGTAACTTGTATTTAAAATTCTGTAACTTTGGGTTGGGTAAAGATATACTTAAAATAAAGCATTCCCTTTGTAATTCTGATGCATTCTCAACATTTGGGTGTTAAAGAACATACAAAAAAGTTTATGTAAATATTAAATTACTTTAGAAGTATTTCTTATATTTATAAGTACTAATGCAGTGTATTAATTATAATGGTAGCTGTTTGTAATTTTGATACTGTGTTAGCTTAAAACTTAACTTGGTGGTTCCTATATTAACATCATTATGTCTCTTATTTCTTTGCAGCAAGGAGTAAATAATGCTGAAAAGTTTGACTATGTAAGTGCAACATAGAATTACGCTTTTATGCCACATTCTTTATATATTTGTTTTTTGGTTACTAATTACCTCCTAATTTTTGTTTATAGGTGATGCAGTTTTTAAATAAGATGGCTGGTAATGAATATGTTGGATTCAGTAATGCAACGTGAGTCTGATTTGTGACTTAGGTTTTTATACTTGTTCAGGCCTTTCTAAATTAATTTTTAAAAAATCTGAATTGAATAATTGTATTGCAAGTACTGTTTGTTACTATACACACACATACATGCACATACTAAATTTAGAATTAATCTGCTCTCCCTTGTTGACCCTAGGACTTACTTCAGTGCATAGTTACTTACAGTTTGGTCATTATGGGGAGATGAGTGATTTCTCAGTTGCATGACAGAAACACTTAAAAATGCTTTAAGTAGTTTTGATAAATTTCTTACAAGTAGTTACACAGTCAAAAGAGACTCCAAGTTTACCTCAAATTACTGGCACTTACTTAGTTTTCTTTTTGCTTAAAATAACTGTCTTATCTCTTAATCTCTCTGTACCTGGCTAACTTAATTTTTACTCCAATTTTTTATTTTGAAATTTGCAAGTCTACAGAAAAGTTGAAAGAATAAGCAATGACTATCTGGAATCTTTCACTCATATTCTCTAATATTTTGTCTTATTTGTTTTTCCCTTTGTCTTTCTTTTTAGGTAGATAAATAAAAATATATGTGTAATTTTAAAAAGTAAAAAAATTGTGTAAATGTCTAAATATGCCCATATGTAATAAATATATACATAGGTAGATTTTTTTCCTGTACCACTTAAATTTAAATTGTAGACATTATGATAATAATATTAATGTATGTCTATCCTAAGAGTGTGGGCATTCTACATAACCACAATATCATTAACACATGTAAGAACGTTGACATTAATTTTAAAATATTAAATGAATAATCAATATATAAATGCTCCCTAAATGTCTTCGAAACTTTTATTACTTTTTAAGTTCAGGAACTATTGAACAACATTTCATTTGTTGTTACATGTGTTTTATCTCTTTCTTTAGAACATCTCTGTTCTAGATCCTTGCTTTTAACATTTTTATTAAATGACTTTTGTTTTTTAGGAGTGCAGGCTACTTATTTCATAGAGCAACATTTCACTAACTCTTTCTTTGTAGGACCAGATAGTTAATATCTTAAGCTTGTGTACCATGTGGTCTTTGTTGTAACTACTCACTTCTGCAGTTTTTAGTAGGAAAGTAGCCTTAGGTCATATGAGACTATGTTTTAAAAAAAAACAAAACCCACTTTATTTATTAAAACAGGCAGCAGACCAGGTCTGGCCTATGGCTGTAGTGGATATCCCCCCTTTTGCATTTGTCTGCTTCTGTATAATTAGAAAAATAATGTTAAACAGTTTTGGCCTATATACTAACTATGGTTTTATTCTTATTTTGCACTTACTGCTTCACATTACAGGGGTAAACATTTTCGGATTGCCTGCCTTAACATTAATTTACCATTTGAAATATCTTTTCCAGGAAGTTTTTCATGAATCTCATCTTGTCTTTTTAATGTCCTCTTTTATTACCATCTTTTATTGAACTTATTCCATGTCTTTCATTGCCTATAACCACTGTTAGACTTTGACCTCCTTAAGACTTGGTTAGAGTGTTGCATCTTCCAGCTCCTTTCTACATCTCTGTTATCTGGCAGATAATAGGCACTTGAGATAATGTTTGAGGAACTGGACTGTGTGCTAGGCACTGTGATAATTGCTGAGTAGGTAGCCCTTTATCTGTGTTGTGTTGACTTTTTTTTTTTTCTTAATAGGGCAAATTGACAAGAATTTTCCTATATCCAATATTATTTTTCTGACCATAGAAATGTTCAAATGGGCCAGGCTTGTTGGCTCAGCCTGTAATCCCAGCACTTGGGGAGGCTGAGGTGAGTGAATTGCCTGAGCCTGCAGGTTCAAGACCAGCCCAGGCAACTTGGTGAGACCTCGTCTCTACAATAAATAAAAAATTTGCTGGGTGAGGTAGCATGCACCTATAGTTCCAGCTACTTGAAAGGCTGAGGTTGAGGTGGAGGGATTGCCGGATCACCCCAGTCGGTCGACAGTGGGGTGGCTGTGGGTGTGCCACTGCACTCCAACCTGGGCGACAGAGTGAGACTTCAACTCAAAAAAAAAAAAAAAAAAAAGAAAAGAAATGTTCAAATATATAGTTAAAAGGGGCTGTCTGCCTCAGTAATACAAAGAATGTCACCCCCTATACTACCAGTAGCCTTTTAGTTTTGTAGGTTAATTCTCAAATGAACCACAAATTAAATCTGCCCAAATTAAAACTTAAAACTCTTTCTTCCCAAAATGTTCCTTGCTGTATAGACCATTGAGTTGGTTAATAATTTCATGCTCTCAGTAGGCTGTGTTAGAAATCTAGGCTTTGAACCATTCTTTGCCCTGTCTGTCCCTTTCCCATCAGGTTGGAACATTTATCCACCTGCTGGCACATTTGGTTATACCCCTCCTTCCATTCCTGTCGCCCTGCCTAAATCCAGGCTTTCTTGGCTCTCATGCGGTTCTCTCCTAATAAATATATCACTCGTCTCTTCTTTTTTTCCCTTTGTCAAACTGATGTCAGAGCTGTCCTTCTAAAATGTAACTGGTTTGAAAGCCTTGAGGCTTTTGTTTGATGGACAGTTAGGCACCATTACATTCTTAAACATTTATTGGTCTTAATCATTTAGTCCCAGTCTCCTTTGTTTGTTGTTTCTCCATGCTTCTCCATGCACCCTGTTTCTCAGATATAGCAGAATATTTGCTAATCTTCAACGGGAGTCCTGTTTGGATACTTTTATAACTGTGCACGCTGCATCGGTCTAGGCATCCCCTGAAATCTATTAATCCAGTGAGTCCTGCAAGATTCTTTTTTTTTTGGTCACTCTCAGTGACATTTCTATGATTCCCTCAAGTGGAATAATTATTGTATTTCTGGGAAGCCAGAGGATTCTGCAGTTTCTCAGTGCTTTTTAATAGCAATATTTGGGAGTTTTAAAATAAGTATTTTTGTTCACAAAAATAGAAAGACTGAAAGAGTGATGACTTAACTCAAGGCCACATAACTAGCCTGCTGACAGAATTGAGATGGAGACTCAGCAGTCCTGCATCTTAGTTCAATGTTCCTTACATTGTACTTTGCTGCACATGAAATTAAGGGACAATCCCCTTTTGCAGAAAGTAAAATAGAGCAAATTTTTTTTTCTTCCAGGTTTCAGTCTGAAAGAGAAAGCGGAGATCGAAATTTTGCAATAGGATATTACTTAAAAGAAAAGAAGGTTTTTAAATTTATTTCTATTTCAAATTACTCTTTTGTTTAATAAAATACGAGGGGGACCCCAAAAAACCCGGAATTTTTTTGTTGGAGAGTAGGACCCTTGTAATATAGGCTTTACCTACTAGGTTTTAGGAAACTAACGGCATCGGTGTGCCATCTAGCATTGTTGTGAGAGGCTGTGTTCTGTTTCAGTGAACTTTTTTTGGAGATTCTTTCAACACATTGACCCATTTTGTGATGGGTGATCTATGAGTGCACCTGCCCACACCATACTGAATGTTCAGCAGTTTTTGACCAAAAATGGCATGACCCCTCTGTCCCACCCAGTCTTACCCCAAGTGATGTTTTTTATGTTTCCCTGGATTAAAAAAAAGTCCTCAGGGAAACATTTTGCAGATGTGGAAGAGGTCAAACAAACAAACAACAAAAACAGAAGCAATGAAAGGCATCAAAATTGATGAGGTCAAAACTATTTTGAGCAGTGGAGAAAGCATCTCAGTAGGTGTGTTGCCTCAAACAGAGAGTATTTTGATGGTGACTAAAACATGTAAGAATACATACACAATTTTTTTATAAATAAATTCTAGGTTGTTTTTGGTCCCCCTCGTATATGAAGGTGTATGCTAAGGATTCAACAGTAGTCTTGAAGTCACTGCTTGTTACTATTCAAGGTACAGAAGTTTCCACAAAGTACTCTTGAGTAATTATTATCAAGTTTTTAATGTTATTACATATTTGTATCTGGTACTATTGAAATGTTTGAAAGTTTTGTTAATGCGAATTTTACTTGATACTTAATCCATTTTTTTTTTTTAAAGCATAATACCTATTAGTTGTTGTTTTTTTTTTAAAGTATAATACCTATTAGTGTTGACTGAAAGTTGCTGGTCCACTTGATTGACCCCATTAATCATCGACAGTCAAAACTGGTATCTAGAAATTTGCATGATGTGATGTTATTTTGCTTTATTATTCTTTGTTATTTTGTTTATTTTTTTTATAGATTACATGCTGTTTTGTTCTCTTAAAATGAAACATTTGTGTACATTTTAAATTTAATCCACACGCATTTCTTTACTTATGTGTGTACTTTTTCCCCTCCATGCTTATATTTTAAATTGCCTTTTTCTTTTTTCAGTGTTTTCCAGAAGGCACAGACATGGTTGGTATATTAGACTTCTATTTTCAGGTAATGTAATTGTATAAACTGTGTATATAAATGGATGTATCACATTTTGCAAAATAGAGGTATCGTTGAAGTCTTGGTTGTAGGACACAAGAAAATACATTTTCCATTGATTTCAAAAATTGTTTTTATGAAAGGCAGTCTCATGTTTTTGTCTCCTAAAAATTCATACCGTAAAATGTAATAGAGAAAAAATTATCTGAAAACATTATATTTAAGAAGTGAAATGATGTGCAATCTCAGAGATTGGCTTCTCCTAATTATAAACTGAGCTCTATTTTGTTAGCTTTTACATTTTGTTTGGGAGAGGCTGCTTTTTCTTTTCTTTATCTTTAAATCAGAGGACCCTATTCAGCATTTTGAAGTGTTGATTTCTCAGCTGACTTGATCTCTTGTAGTTTCTTTGTTACTACTCTATCCTAGCTTAACTGGTGCTAGGAGAATCGTTTTTTAGTTCATTTCTGCAGTGTCAGTGGTGGCTTTTTAAGTTAAGTAGCTCTCACTATTCAGGAGGGACTGGGGAGGAGCCGTGTGCATAACCCACTGGGTGTAGAACTCAGAATAGCCGTGCTGGAGACCCTTGTCTCACCCCAGATTTTCAGTTCAGGTTATTCTCACAGATTCTCAGTGCCACGGAGTGGGCTATACTGTGAAACTATGTAGTAGACTACATGATGGTTCATTTCTAGTTTGCTTTATATTAGCCTGCCTTTACTTTTGAAGATGCTTTCATTTTAACCTTTCAGTAATCTTAGAGAATAAGTAAAGGAGGTTGATAATAAAGTAGATTTTGACATAAGTTTAGGTCATAGTTTTTTCTTCTGCCCAATAGGAGAAATCGTGAATTGGGATCCAGGCCATCAGTATAAAATTCAAGGTCTATCCTGGCTGCTTACTAGCCATGTGACCTAATTTCAGTTTCATAATCCTAATATTACATTGCAGATAACATGAGATGATCTATGTGAAATTCCTTTGAAACGGTAGAGTGTTACAGGAAAATATATTGTTTTTACTTTTCTCCACTGCTCTTTATTTTTTCCTTAGTCTATATAAATATTTTCTGTAAGTTTAAGTTTCTTTTCCTTTAAAATACATATTTAAGTTTGGCCATTATAGTTTAGGTGATACTAATCTGTTGTACTGTGAAATTGCTATACTTCACGGCAAAAATCAAGAGACAGTCATATAAACCATACTAGCTTTTTTGAGGCAGGCTGCATCTAATTGGACAGCCATCAGGTTATCAGGAGAGTACTCTTAAGTTGGTATTTGTCAAATTTGTACAATCAAAATTTCAATTAAATATAAATTAGGAAATGATAGTTGGAAATTAAATCTTATTTTAGAAAGCCTTTCATGATTAAATCAACCATATCTAAGTCTTTGCTATTTGGGGCTGTATAGTAAGTAGATTCTATAGTTTTGGAGAAATAGGAAAGAGATTTTAATACAAATGGGCAAAATTGATATCCAGCCAGGGTTACACGTGCAGTGTTCTGCCTCACTATAGTTAGTTTTTTCTTTTTGCTATTTCCACATCCCTTTGTGCCTCTAACTGATCTTGGAGTATGACTGAGGAAAGTTTGGAGGTTGAGGACCCAGTTTTCTTCTCCACCTTACCATTCATTTTCTTTCTCCTTCTTACCCCAATTTTGGTTGCTGTTAATTAAAAATAAAATGTTGCAGAACACGTTATTTTTGTTTCACAGGTAAATTTGGATTTGGTGTAGTTAACTATTTTCATTATTTTGATTATATTCAAATGCAAAAATTTCATCCTAGCATATCTGTTTTCTTTCATTCTTCAAGGTATATATCTCGCACCCATAGTAAATAGCAAATAAATACTAATATTAATAAGTGGTCTGAAAGGTCACATTTTGACTTAGACTCACAGAGCATCCTAGGTGGAACCGCCTTATATTTTTCTTACCCTTTGTCCTCTGCATGTTATTATATAATTGGGGGTGCTTAGCTTTGTCATGGGTGAAATGTAAGGCAGTTTAACATTTTTTCCCCTGAAGTGCTAATTTCCCATAGTAGGATGTTATCTGTCATGAAGCTAATATATGGTGCTTTATCTTAAAAATATATTGTGGCTTATTTATTTCTGTAGAATTAAACATAATTATTGTGTATTCCACAGAAAGTATTAATATTTAAGCACATTTGAATATCACATGGGGCTGTAAACAAATCTTAGTGCTTTGGGGCTAGCTCTTCCTGACCTAATTCTACCATCAAAGACTGAATAACTTTGGGCAAACTAGAATAAACTTTAAAGGGTCTAGAATTTTGGTTAATAAAAATGTTTGGAATGTAATCAACTCATATTAAAATTATCTCTTTTGGAGAAATATTTCAGATCTGTATGAAATGCCAGATAAAATAGATTGTTTTAGAAGTCAACTGTAATACCAAAAGTAATATGAGTCCAAGTTTTTTAGAATTCTGTTTTTTTCTTCATTTTAGCTATGCTCCATCGAAGTGACTTGTGAATCGGCCAGTGTGATGGCTGCAACACTGGCTAATGGGGGTTTCTGCCCAATTACTGGTGAAAGAGTACTGAGCCCTGAAGCAGTTCGAAACACACTGAGTTTGATGCATTCCTGTGGCATGTATGACTTCTCGGGACAGTTTGCTTTCCATGTAAGTAATTGTTTAATCTTAATTTTCTCTAGCAAGAAACTAGTCTGAACTGGTTCTTTTAAAAATGTAGTTTGAACTTTGCTTCTAAAACTGTACCTTAATTTTTGAGAGAGAGACTTGTTTTCAAGGTTAATTTGTTACCAAATTGGTAAGGAACAGAGTTAGCCTACTAGATGTTCTTAAGAATTGGAAGTTTAATTTATAGAACCTCATCACTTCTGCTTTTAAGGCATTCCAATGTACAAGGTTAGTATGAACTTTACTTTTAGTTATTAATGTTTAGCATTTTGATGATTATGTATCTTAAGAATTCCTAAGTTCAGAGAGACCAAAGAAATGATATTATTTAACATCTTTGGTTACAGTCATAGATGCTTTAAAGGACTTTAAGTATATTAGAATATATTTAAGTTAAAACTTAACAAAAATGTACTTATTTAAACTCTGTTCTGCATTTACTACATGTGAAATGTGTGGACTTAAGATTCTTATTTCAATCTCATGTCAAATCATAATGCTCTCCTAAAATTTTTTCTTTATTTTGGAAAATTTGAAACATAAAAATAGATGCATGAAAAAAGTTACTCATCACTCAGCTTCAATAATTATGAATACAAGACTGATCTTGTTTCATCTTTGTGCACAGCTACTTCCTCTACCCTTGTCATATTTCAGTATGTGATTCTAAATGATACGGACCCTTGAAACATAACAATACTATTAACACATATAAAAAATTATACTATTATATGTCCAAACATTACCATCATCTTTAATTTAATATCACCATTAAGTTTAATACCATCAAAATATTTAGGAAGTGTTCGGATTTCCTGGATTATCTTATAAATCATTCTTGTGTTATTTTACAGTTTATTTGACTTGGGATACAAACAAGGATGATACATTGTTGTTGGTTGTGTCTCCATTTTTCTTTTTTTCTATATGTCTCCTCTTGATCTCTCTTTTTTCTTGTTATTTTTGGTTGAAAAAATTGTTATTTAACCTGTATAGTTTCTCGTAGTCTAGATGTTGCTGATTACATCCATTCCACTGTATTTTATATTTCCTGTAAATTGGTATATGCGATTCAGGTGTTTTAAAGTTTATTTTGTTTGGTTTTGTGCAAGAGCACTTTCTTGATATACTTGTCTCCAGAGATGCTTAATGTCTGAATGTTAGTAAGCAATTAATGAATACTGCCCTAATGACATTAATTTTACTTTTATCATAATTGTTGTCAAGTTTTACATAATGCGTACTTTTGAAGAAGATTAACTTAAATTACCATTTTAGGCTGGGCTCAGTGGCTCAGCCTGTAATCCCAGCACTTTGGGAGGCCGAGGCAAGTGGATTGCCTGAGCCCGTGGGTTCCATACCTGGGAACTTGGTGAGACCTCATCTCTACAATAAATCAAAAATTAGCCGGGTGTGGTAGCGCACGCCTATAGTTCCAGCTCCTTGGAAGGCTGAGGCAGAAGGATTGCCAGAGCACAGTAGGTCGAGGCTGTGGTGACCGGGAGCATGCCATTGCACTCTAGTCTAGGTGACAGAGTGAGACTCCAACTCAAAAAATTAATTAATGAATTAATTACCATTTAATTTATATTCCTTAGATAGTCCTCTGACAGTATACCATAAAAAATTTTAAGAATTTGTAATTTCTCATTAATTTCTAGTTTTAAAATATTTTTAAAATAACTTTTTATATTGAAAAACAATATATATTTGTTTTAAAACAATTAGAAAGTATAATCAATAAGAATAAATTAAAAACATCCATAGCCCTACAGTTTAGATATAACTGCTTTAATTCCTTAGAGTGTATCTTTAAAAATTTTTTCTTTGTTCAAGTCTACCCTAAACTGTTTTACTTTTTTACTTACTGTATCATAAACAATTGATAAATATTTATGTTGATATATATTTATGTATACCATTTTTAATGTTGAAATTCTATACCATAATTTTTAAGCCAGTTTCCATATTGTCAGACATAGTGTTTGTTTTAGTGTTTACTTAAATGCTCATTTTATTGAATTATTTTCAGGTTGGTCTTCCTGCAAAATCTGGAGTTGCTGGGGGCATTCTTTTAGTTGTCCCCAACGTCATGGGCATGATGTGCTGGTCTCCTCCTCTGGACAAGATGGGCAACAGTGTGAAGGGAATTCACTTTTGTCATGTAAGGATGCTTTCCTAATGAGAATAATGATTGTATAAGTTGAGCCATCAGGGATTCTGTTTTTCTACCCATTTTTCATAGTTTACTGACTCCTGGCACTTGGCCTGCTACTATGCTTGTTCTCAGTAGCCATAGGTTATTTGCCCAGAAACCTCACATGGCTCCCATCACAGAATTTTCATGGTTATAACTAGTTTTCAAAAGCTCAAAAAAGGACATAGAAAGTTGAAGAAGTAATTTAAAAGTCAATATATTTTAAGAATTTTTATGGTTTATTGTATCACCTTTAATCTGCATGTTTTAATATATTTATCTGTTAGTCACCTTTACAAGGTTTGTTTTTGGCCGGGCATGGTGGCTCAAGGCTGTAATCCCAGCACTTTGGGAGGCTGAGGCAAGAGGAGTGCCTGAGCCCGGGGGTTTGAGAACAGCCTGGGCAACTTGATGAGACCTCGTCTCTATAATAAATTTAAAAATTAGCTGGGCATGGTAATGCATGCTTGTAGTTCCAGCTACTTGGAAGTCTGAGGCAGAAGAACCTGAGCCCAGCAGGTCGAGGCTGTGATGGCCGTGAGCTTGCCACTGCACTCCAGCCTAGGCAACAAGAGTGAACTCCAACTCAAAAAAAAGAAAAAAGATTTGTTTTTGAGGAAATAAGTATTGCAAATAAAATATTAAAAGTTTTTTTTAAGTGTTACCACTCCTGATTAGTTAAGTATTTTTTTGTTATTCAATTCTTGATAATATTTCAGTTTCTGGTTTTATTTGCATTTATCATTTCCTAGAGTTCATGTTAAGTACCATACTCAAGTAAAATTCTGATACATTTTTCAGTCTTTTATATTTTATAAAAACTAGAGACTGATACTGGATTGTATCTAAAGTAAATTAAAATAGATTATAACCGTCATAATTATATTTTTTGGCACGTTACAGCTATTTGATAGAATTCTTTCATGAGGCCTGTTATAAACCCCGTTGAGTAGAACTTGCAAGTTAGACAGCTTGAGTGGCCGAGCCCTGGATCATCATTTAGGAAGCAGTGGTCTCAAAACTTGTATCCATGCCTTAGCTGATTTTCGTCTTTTTGACACACCATACTGCTTTATTAGTGTACAGTGATGATTTCTCTGCTGGGCAGTGTAAGCATAGTTTGTTATAATATGAATGCATGTAACCAGTGAAGAACCAGTTTCTCATACCTGTTCTGTATAACTATTTACAGGATCTTGTATCTCTGTGTAATTTCCATAACTATGATAATTTGAGACACTTTGCAAAAAAACTTGATCCTCGAAGAGAAGGTGGTGATCAAAGGGTAAGCGAAATTCTTTTTTAGATAATTATGTAGTATTTTTTTTGAGAGAGAGAAAACGACATTTGCCTGTTTAAATAAAACTGAAGTTTAATTGTTAGTAGCTTGATGTCTTTGCTAATCACAAATAAGTACAAATTGTTGGCATTTTTATCTTGGATCACTAGTATTAAGTATTGTTGTTTTTTTGTCATTTAAATTGGATCTGGTTAGCCTGTAGGAAGGGTTCCCTCTCCCACTTTCACCGCCATCCTGTTTTCTGCTATTTTAAGCAAGAATTTTTAGAATTGATTCTGTTTAAAAAAAAAAGTAGAAAATGCTATACACTATGAATCTAATTAAAAATTTAGAAAGCTTTTTTTACTCTTCATATTTGTCAGTTCTGGTCCTGAATTGAAGTTTATTCTAACTCCTTGCCTACTGTGTGGATTGATATGTAAACGAAAAGGGGATTATATTAGTGAGAAACTTTATGAAGCCTCCTGATATGTTTTATAATTTACTGCAGATGAAGTGTTTTTTCTAAAAAGTTTTTAATGCAATATTCCTCATAACCTTAAAGTCCTTTTTGTTTGTTAGCAGTATATGTTTGGCTTCATATTGTAGTACATAAATATTCCTTTTTTAGAGCTAGTATTAACATTTAGAACTTAACTTTTTTGGTCTATATCGTTTTTCACTGGACCAAGGAACTTGTGTTGAAAATTTTATTCAGTTTCTTTGCATCCCACATGGAAAATGTTTATAGTAAAATTACCTAATTAGGGTTGAAGATAATATGAAACACTTGTAAATAGAAAATACTTTAATACATACTGAGTAAATTGTCTTTAGTGCCAAAATACATTTTTGCTAGTTCCAGTCAAAGTAACTTCTAATGATATATGAAGATTATCAAGCCGACAGAATAGAAACTTTTATGGGAATGGACATGCATAACATGGTACAAAATGTCAAATGGTGGTGGTTGTGAACAGTATTTACAGTTTTTAATATTATTCATTGAAAAATACCATTTTATAGCTTGGACCTTTCTTCACTCAAGTGCACTAATAAATTATGTATGTTGCTTGAACAACTAGCATTCCTTTGGACCATTGGACTATGAAAGTCTCCAACAAGAACTTGCTTTAAAAGAGACAGTATGGAAAAAAGTATCACCCGAGTCAAATGAGGACATCTCTACAACTGTAGTGTATAGAATGGAAAGTCTGGGAGAGAAAAGCTAAAGGAATGGGTTCTAGTTTCAGAATGTGTCTACATTTAACCTATCAAATATCTTTAGCTTTTTTTTTTTTGCAGACTATAAATATTTATTTGAGTTTTTTGTGTTCTCAACCTTGGGTGCTGGAGCCATAAAGGGTTTATTGTTTTTGGTTATTTTTCCTTTTCCTTTTAATCTTTGTATAAAGGTAATATATTTTAAAAGTACATTTGCTGATCTTTTAAAAAGTATTTACGAGTAAATAAAACAACTTTGCTTTATTTAAAAACACACAAAAAGGACAGTTTTAAAAAAATTTTAACTATTTTGTCATATAATCTCATTTTAAAATAGTAACAGGGAATTATAATTTCTTAGTTCTAAAACCCACAGATTGAACTCATAAGTTTTGTTGCATTTTTTTTTCTCCTGGTTTTAAAACTGACATGATGTCTGTAATGGCAGTAAAAAGTACTTTTATGCTAAATACAAAACTAAAAAGACAAAATAACCCCAAATTACCTTATTTAAAATAGCAGTAGATTATAAAGTTATCTTAAGTTTACATTTATGCCATTTTTACTGATAGATTGGCTTTAAATTTTTAACAAATTTATTTAAAGTTTTATCAAATGCTTTTAAATATGTCTTCTTCTATTTTTTACTTTGCAACTCCCATATTCTGTCAGAATTGTCATGTACAGGAGTGTCTTATGTTACTAAAACATTCCAGCCAAAGAATTTCAGATGTAAGATAACGGCATGTTTTATTGTTAAAAATCTATAATGGTTAGTTACCCAGAAGGAGAAATAGTGGGTGTCTTTAAGTGAATTGTTCACCTAAACAATTTTATTTTCATATTATCTACATAACCTTTTCTGTATTCAATTTAAATATGAATGGCAAATCTTGGTTTTTAGCTTTTAAAATTTTATTATCCTAGTAGTTTCATACATGCTAATGAATATTTCTTTTGTGATAGATTATACCATCTCATAAAGTTTGTTCTATTTGAACTCTTTTAGAATAATTAGGAAATGAGTTTAGTCTGAAGGTAGTACATATGCTGCTAAAATATCTCTTAGATCTGAATCCTTTTTTTCGGTTATAAAAATGCAATATTGAGAATCAAAACGTTTTTAGGAGAAGAACTATAGGTTCTGCACAACCTGATTTCAAGTAATTATTCATGGTATTTAGAGTCATCCTGGCAAAGTGATTGTAAAATTCTGCAGGACCTGTTCACACTCCCCCTTCTTCCATGTATCTCTCAGGTTTTCCCACAATCCCTCCAGTTTCAGGTTTGTTAAAACTTATTTGTGTGCGTGTTGTTTTTTTTTTTTTTTCGATTCATTTTTAAGCTTGTAAATTTGGGGAAGGTTATAAGGGAAACTCAATGGCTTGTTAGCATGGTGGCATATGCGTGGTGTAGGGCAAAGTCTCTGTAAAGGTAAATATACTGTAGTAGAAGATACTAATTTAGATAATAATTTAGGTACTAGTGCAAAAGTAGATAGAGAAAATCTTGAGTTTGGGAACTATGTATTAGGGAAAGAAACTTCCTCCCAGAGGTGCTGATCAAGAGCTTTTTGGATTAAGTTAAGTATTAAATTGATACATTTAAATGCTGTCAGCACATACTAAGTTTTAGAGGCCTTTACCAAGTGTCCCATGCTTGAATGCCCTTCTGACATTCGAGTGCACATCCTGCCTGGAGGACCCCTAAGACCTCATCCCCTGCACCTTTGTGCCGGTTCCACCAGGGTCATTTGGAGTTTAGACAACTGAATGCTTTCATTGGAAAAAAAGCATTATTTTTTTCTCCTATGCTCTACATTGTTATATTTTACTATTTCATTTGGAGGTTGGTTTTACTTTATAAAGTGAAGTTTTAGTTATCATGTTGTGTGCATATTTGCATAGATTTCAAACTTAGGTTGTTAATTTATGGCACTTACTATTGTGTTGGCAAGGCATAAACTTAAAAATGAAGTGGGTTTAGCTGCTATGTTTAGAGAATGTTAAGAAGAAGCATCTGGAAATTTTTATAGGATGGGATAAATGGAAGAAGAGGCAAAATACTGTGAATAGGCCCTCAAACTTCATTAAAAAAGAAAAGAAAAACTTTGCCAGTTTTAAGGACATATTTTGATTTCTTCAGTATTCTTAATACCTTTTCAAATATAGTTCTTGAGAAGTACCCAGCATTGTTGGGTTTAGTGTTTTATGCCATTATTGATTCTTGATATTCAAGCATTTACAAGATAGCATATTTGGTTTTCTTTTGTTCTTTCTTTTTTTTTGACATCATTAACATTTCATTTGAAATGCATATTCTTCCTGAAATATTTTGTTTTTAGCATAAATGTTGTGCATTTTATCTTAGTGTTTGGATTAAACATTTGTGTTGTTTAGCTTTCTTTCATTTGCTTTGTATATTTAATAATGTAACTTTATTTTCCAGTATGCCTACTTTTTGTATTGTATAATAAATTTATTTTAAGCTGATTTTATTGTTTTTTTTTTGTTTTTTGTTTTTTTGCAAAAGTAACTCCAACATTTAAGTACAACAAACAGTTGGGATTTTAACTTAGAAAAAGTATCCCTTATGAAGAAATTATTAATGTGTTTCCTCTTCTGAGGCTGTCTAGAAGTGAAACTATAAACACTCAAAAGGGCTTTATTTGATTTTTTTAATGTAAAATATTGTTGGTGGGGTTTTTGGGAGGAGGACTTTTCCTATTTGTTGTACTAGAAATATTTGAATAAAGACTTTTCTCCCAATATTTTTTGGTATTTTTTCCATTTGATAATTTTAAAAAATGCAGCCCTATTTGCAGGTTCTTTCTGCTTTCTGAGGAAGAATATCATTGCTATTATTCACTATGTGGCTCATTTTATCTGTTGTCCAAAGGGTGGGAAAAAATTGCAAAATCAGATGAAGAGTGTCATAATATTGCTTTACAATAAACTGTTAATCTCAGTAGAATTTATATTAAGCAGAATGACAATATTATAGAAATTCACCTTAAGTGCTTTCGTAGGGGAGTTAATTTTCAGAAGAAACTTAATATATCTCCATAGCATGTTCCAAATGATAGAGGCTTCATGGGTTGTAGGTGAAATACAGTACTTTAAAATTTTCCTGTTTGATTAAATCTGACTTTGATATTCTAGACATTTCCCAAATAAGTTGTAGATGTTTTAAAATTATTTGAAAGGGAAAATACTACTTACATGGATTTGTATTAATTAGTATTTTTTTTAAAAATAAGTTTACTTTAGGACTAGTTAATAAGGAGTTACAGTATAAAGATATATCCAATATATGTGACAGTTTATAATCACTTGCTTTTAAAGATGCATTTCTTAAAAACCCATTTGAAGTAAGGGGAGAGGAGACTCACAGTGCTGGGAGCGGGGTTTTGATCTGAGGCAGGGTAGTGTTTCCTAGGTATATGTGTTTGTGGAAAGAGCTGCTAGGACATGCTGACATACTGCTCTGGTCATTTATATGTAATGTGTGTGTGTATGTATGTGTGTATCTCATTTCCCTGTCTGTCTGGGTACTTAAAGCTTTCTATTCATATTTGGGAAATGACCTAAAGTTCTTTCCACATTGTATATTATGTATAAATGGGTCATTGATCTGTTACATTCTTTCAAGCCTTATCATAAAATAATTGAAAAATTTTTTGCTGCCCATAATGTATAAAATAGAGCATATTTTACAAATACAATATGACTTAAAATATTTGTGGTTTCTGTTGTTGCCACTCTACTCACTGCCAGCACTGC